CAGTACGGATATTTTGCGTGATATTCCTTCAACAGTGCCAATGACAACAGCCAGTTATTGCAATAGTCGACTTCTGAAATTGAACTGGTAACAAGACACATTTTTGTTGCCTCAGTAACCCAAAAATATCTCCTATTAGTTTATGGGTGTATGCGCCTCAATTACGGATTGAAGTGAGAATACCTTCTAAAAGTGTCGTCCCAACAGGGGCGAGTCCTCCTGAGGGTTCCGCATGGAAGGAGTAACACAATAATGCTCACTCAGCTTGAGTAGTTTATCGGATGGAAACAAAGTTCAACTATTTTTCGATTCCTGTGTTCACAAAACTTATAGGTTTATTTCTGGTCATTTCTGGCATGTACCACTAAGGAAGACCTGAGAACTTTTAGTGCTGCCACAGGAAACTCCGTGGCCTATAATTACATCGGGGCATTCTTGCAAGTTAAATATCGATACCTTTTATTGACCTTTTTGATATTTCCGTTTATATTTTGTGTTGGTCACAGAAATGACAAGTTATTTTGCCATTGTAACATTTATGTGAATCAATCACCCGATAAACAGTGAAAGTTGACAGTAAGATAGCGGTGATGGCATTTTAGAATGGGTTCAATCAGTCATCGAAATGACTTCAGTTGAGTAAATCATCAATTGAGCTTTCTCGGTCACTCCAAGAACTAGAGACATTCTGTCTGGCAATATCGATGACTTTTAATTAGATGCAGTTGAAGTCTTACCCTTACTTTCCTTTCACTGAGGGTTTTACTGACTACGTCGTCTATTCTGGATGTGCAAACCATAGCACTGCTTAAAGATGTCGGTAGTTCATTAGCCTAGAAATGTCCGAATGTTACCCTGGCTTGAAATGATTCTTCGGCATTCTTACAAACATGTTTTCCTCCCACATCTCAGATTTATACTACGCCTCCGCGTTGTCACCACGCTTCACGAATGACTTGGATAGAATTCGCCAAATCGTAGAAATCCCAGCTTTACCAAGTGAACTTTCTAGCGAAGTCGACTGTTCTCTGAAATATTCGTTAGATGTGAGGAACTTTGTGGGACAGGAGATTACACCTGTTCTGGTTTCATCTGTTTGGTCAATCAGTGGAACACCTAACTTAAACTACAAATATAAATTCAAAGTCACTGTCGTTCATGCCGCCACCGAACTTCTGACGTTTGAAGGCCCATTGATTATACTCCGTATGCCCAGACGTGAGTTTTTGCATTGCTTAAACCGCCTTTCTAACATAGTGAGTAAAGGTTTTTTGTCTTGAGCCTTTTTTGTCAACACACCCTTTTTTGTCCTACTCGCCTCGGAATTGCGTACTTTCTATGACCCACAAGAAAAATCGCCACACAAGCAGGTTTGTAAAACCATTATTTGTATTTTCTCGTGACAATACAATCTTCTACCATTATCTTCTACAAGTCACTGATTGTGGCTATCTTCGCAGCTGTACAACTTCAAACAGACACCGATATTGTCATTCCAAAACCATCTGTACCACGAAAACGTCATGCAGTTCCGAAAAATCACGAACTCGGGTAGGCTCCAACATACGAGCACGAAGAATCCGCATGGACTTCATGGTAACTTTCCTCCAAAACTCATACCAAGGGAGGTTTCTCAGTCCCTAACAAACATTTCTGGTAAGCAGTAATAATGTAGAAGGGAGTCCACACAAGCAAGAGCGATACTGGGAAATTCAATCAGTGATGTTTAGACTCGCGAATACTGCTCTTGTCGGTGTGCTTGTTGTGACTGACGAATTGGCTCACAGTTAGTTAAACCCCCTGTAGGGACTGTGAAAATAAGAAGGAACAAATGCATATCAGCAAGTTCACTGGATATTAAATAAAGCATAAACGCATGAGCAACAAATATTCCGCTAGGAATGGACAGGTTTTGCTGTTGACGTCAAATGTCAGTACTTGTTCAGATGTTCTGCCCACCAATATATATATCAAAAGCATGGCAGCTTGAGATGGCATATCGTGCAGAAAAAATAAAATTAAAACAATATCCTAGGGTTATCAAGGAATTTTCCACAAGATCATGCCAGAATATTCGTGAGGGGGTGGGAAGTGCTCACCCACAAGTAAACATCATAAACGAGAGATTCAGCTGGGTTCCAAGTGAGTCTCTCGCATAATCAGATTTGTTTGCAAATGAGTGTATTCCGCTAAGTTTAGATCCGATTCGTCGAAAGCCGCCTTCTGTCGAGAACTGGCAACCGTAAGTACACCATGAAGAGCTCAGGTATAGTCGTCATAGTGAGAAATTTCAGTGCACAATCAGAACGCCTTAATGCATCAAAGGCACCTGTCGGTCTTTCGTTTAGCCTGCATGCAAAACACAGTAATAAATTCAAACGTTTGTCCAGCTTTGTACTGGCCACTAGCTGATTATTAGCAGTATCATGTTTAGAAATTGTGGGTGAAGTTGTTTTACTTGGCGATCTCCGGCGATGAAGAGTCCTGGAGCCAGATTGACCAAATCGTCATCAACTACCACTGACGCGGTTCAATCCTTGACTACAGATCGTTCTAAAACACACAAGTCAGTTCAGCTCACGGTCTTTTCAATGCAGATTTTCACTAAAGTGTCCTGGTAAACTCCAGAAACAAGTTCATTGCTTATCAGTGGAGAAGTTTTGTGAGCCAAACCTTATCGGCATCCTCAGAAGACCATGACAACAATTCGGATGAAATAAACACAGCTATACGTGAAGCCGGGTACATTGGTTGTGTTGCTTTTGAACAAGCATGCAGACTCCACAGGGTCTCAGAAAATTCTCTGTAACTTTTTGATTCCGAGGTGCTCTTCTATTTTGGAGTACAATTTGGCTAGACGGCTGGCCAATGGACAGCTCGAATGTACCATATGCGTGGGTAGAGAGACATGTTGATACCATAGATTTCAAGATGAGAGGGGGCCAGTTCGGCTGGGAATGCATATAGGCTGTTCCAGCTAATAAGTCGAATAGGAACCAAACGTCTTTCCGTTAATGAATCAGTGTAAAATAATATTGTAAATCCAGTATATACCAGTATATAGATCGCCAAGCACAATGTTATCAAAAGCAGTTTAGTTACTCTTCCACCACTGTGCATGTGTGTTTTATTCGATGCGCTCATTTTGTGATCTGTGAGTCCAGATCTCGCCTCATTTAACGAAGTGCTAATATGCTTTTCTGCTGGACCTGATGAAGGCCCTCCATTATTGCCCAAAGATGGCGGAGCGTCCTTGTTTTCTGCTTTGACAGGGTTGCTCTTACTTATTTTGGAATAAGAACGTGTTCCATGGAGTTGGAGCCAGTCATTGACCGTATCTGTGTTTGAAAAAGGTACCAGATCAGACCGCACCCACCATAGGGGTATGGCTTTCATATCGAAACATGGCTACTGACTTTCCTCATAATTCGACGTCTATTTTTGACACGTGAGACCACCAAGCAGAATTTCCCCCTAGATAGAGGTACATTGATCATATCCTGTTACTTCACTAGGTAATTGAGTAGAGCCACTTACACCGCCGACTGACAATCGCAGTTTTTCTAGACGTTAAGAGAACCTTCGACTCTTTAGACAGATTAGCTCTCCTAAATATTTCTGGCCAGAATAGGATGCCTTTGAGGCTTTTAAATGTTCTTCACGTCCTTAATTCCCATACCTTTGGTCGGGTCATGATGAAACCAAAGGTTTGCTGGCAACTCGCGAGTCCGTCCGGGTCGTTTTCCTCCTTTATTCGTTCTGTCATTGACGTCGTGATAGCATATACCCCTCTGGGAACCGTTAATCTAGGTAAGGAAGTTATGCTCGAAAAGTAATGGCTTGGGGTTATGCGGTCAAGGCTTTTTCGTTCTATGGTTTTACATCCGCGCAAATTATTTAGCCGGAATGTCGGAGGTGATACCCTGTTTTGCGATTTGTAGCTTGAAAATGCAGTCTGACTTTAAGATTTCTCAATCCGAGGACCTTAAGTGTGTTCAGGTGTTCGATCGCCGGTTTCTCCTTATCACTGCAAGAATCAACTGGCTGTAGCGTGTTCGGAGCGAGATGGTGCGCAAGAGGTTATCTAGTAATGAATCCGATTCTCCGAAGTAGCAGATTAATTCTTCCAAGTTCTGATAGTCGGGGCATGTACTTGTAGGCCTAACAACCGTCTATCAAAGGAAGCATTGTTTTTTGTTCCGAACAATTGTTGGGAAAATGCTCGTGGAAACAGGGCAATTCCGTACAAGGTTCCTGTCCTTCCTACTTCTTTACACTCTTCACTGAGGCCACCTCATGTTTGTATAGCAGTTAAGCACCAGTATGTACTACTGGTGTGTTGCTGTCAATGATGATTCAGATGCACGGATGCAGGGTTGGGAAGGATGTAAGTAACCACACATTGACTGCAGTAACTCTACGAAAGAGCGTGGATCGGAAAAGGTAAGGCGAAAAAACCTGCAATCTGCCTGAAGTCCTCTTGACTGTTCGGAGTTCATGACAGGAAAGAGGAAATTTCGGATAAAGAATTTCTAGCTTCAAAAAACGCCTTACGACCAGATGGGTTTGTGTGTGTCGAGAGAACAAGCCAGTCAGTGTTATGCTCGTTGGAATTTCCATGCATATCAATCTCGTTTGAAGGGTCTAGCACGCGTTCTGTCGCAATTATTCTGGTGAGTCTATACCAAAGGGAGGATGTACAGGACTCGATTTTCTCTCTCATTAATGCTCATCAGTGGTATTTAACCTTAGCCTTACCGGAGTTTGAACTCCAGACATCTGACATGCGAAGTGAATGTACTACCAGCTTTCCAACAGCGAAAACTGAACGCACCTGAATTGTGACTTCTGAACCGGTGGACTTGTTCACGCTTGAAAAATATGATTGTCCTGTCCGACATCTAGAAGGCACCTTGATAACTAATTTTTCGGGAGGCTACATAAGCTGAAAATCACATTTAATTATCAAGTGTGGTCAACAAGAGGGAAGAAAGTTAGGAATGAATGTAAGCACAAGCCTCGCCCTTAGGTTAGCCTCAGTGGGTCTCCTTTAGGAATGAAAGAAATAGCGTGGCGGAAGAGTAGATTCGGTTGCCTGAATTAAACCGACTTTTCAAACTACGAGAGTTGCAAACTGTATATCTAAACACGCGAGGAGAACGATGATTTGGTTCTCTGGTGTATGTCCACATTATCAGAACCAGTCGAGGGACATACTCACGGTTACTACTCTAAGTTTGTCTGTTAGATCACGACACCTGACATCAGGTTATCGAAAAATACGCGCGTTACGTACATTAGTGATGTTACCTAGAGGTTACATGGGTATGGGTATCCATACTTTACCGACTGGTGCAATTGGCCGATTACATCCAAATAAACAAACTTACCTAGACTTGATCATTTAACCCTGTCTGTTAAGAGATCTGGTTTAACACGAGTAAAAAACGGTGCTTTACCGTGGTCTTCCTAGATGAATTGGGAGTTCAACGAAGTTAGCAGATGTCATGGTGTAAAGATATACGCGGAAAAATTTTTGCAGCATCACTAAAGGTACACCACTTATGGTTTCATTTAGACTTAGTATTATTTTCATAGTTCACGCAGGATCAACATGTGCCGGCCGAATCAGATGATCGATTTTTCAGACCCATAGTCGTATCAGGATGCTGAAGTACATTTTTGTTCGTGGTGCGGGGAGATCTCACGTTTTCAGTGGTGACCTCTTCCTGCTGTTGAAATTAATCTGTGCTGTAAACCTCAGGTGAATTTTACGGCCTCGAAGTGCCTTTCGTTAGAGCCTCCCTTCAACACAAACTTAATTTGTAGCTAAGTTCTTATTGCAAGATATTAAGATATTCGGGTATTTCGGCTACTGGTGAGCAGTCAGACTATCCATCTAAATAACGATCGTTCTCATGGAGGATAATGTAATAAAGAGGACCAGCCACCCTCGTCCTTGTCGTCGCTAACATCATAATGATTTCGGCACCGCCAAACACGGATTGCTTAGAATAGAATGACACTGAGTTCCATGAGCGTGTATGCATATCAGCCGATTGGCTATTGATAGATATTGAAATGAGAAATCCACGAGGAAATGGAAACTCATGAAGGTGGACGCCACTGGTTACTTTTCACAGGAGAGATTTTTCCGCATAAAAAGTACGTAAACTTCACGAATGACGGGAAGAACTTACCTAAAATGTACCAACTACATTTGTCGGTTGGCTTGACTGGGATGAGCCCAACACCTGTGGGTCAGGAACTTACCGCGTAACTTACCGACGCCTCTTAATTTCGGGCTACAGTGAAAATAAGTTCCGTGACGCTTTTTGAATCAGGAAGAATTTCCAAGGTCAGTACATGGTTTGCGGAGAAGAGCAAATGCTGGGACCACGTTCCCATGTTCCCAGCCGCTAGTTCTCAACTTATCCAAGCAAACGATTGGTACAGATTTCTCTGATTGTTCGGATGAAACTTTGGAACAGTTCGAGATCGTAGCGCTCCCACGAAGCACTAGATTTTTGCGCAATTGATTACAGTATATTTTATTACCGGTACCTGGCTCCAGAAATCACTTGGAATATCGTTTTCCACTCAACGTGTTCCGAGTTGTGGTGCCCTTCTTGTGTGATGGTTTTTCCTAGTGACCTCTTCTGTTCGTTGGCATATGACTCCTATAACCACCAATGTACATTCACAACCTGCACCCGAAGGCCTCAGTGAGTGAGATCAGATCAAGTTAAAACAGAAGATTCGACTTCACATTCTTTCTTGGCCACAGCTTTGGGCCAGAAGGACATTTGTAAACCTTGATCTACTCCCTGCCAAATCCTGTTTGTTTTACACTTGCAAACAACCTTCTTCTAGTTCATACTGACGCTTGCATAGGGACTGTGAGAATTGTTTTGAAAACTTTTGAAGTGAGAATACTCTGAAAGAAATATAGACGAGTCCATAAGGATTAGAACCTACTACTTGATCTGAATGCAAAACACGAGTTTTCACCCAGAAAGGGTCTGATACTACAGTTCCCTCCCTGTGATCAGTAAACGTCACCCCATTCGATTACGCCTAGGTATATCACCCACCAATGCAACGGATTTGAACGCTGTTCAGTGTTTAGCTCGTCGTCCCATTCCACCCCGTCTGTCCACTTAGATACCACGGCGGAACCTATTTTATTACTAATAATTTTTATGTGACCCCTACCGAACTACGACATCCATTCCGTGGACCATTTGGGTATTTTGTTCGTCACCTAACAGAAAACAGCTTAGCACAAAGCAGCAACATTTGAAGATAGAAGCCGCACTTGTGGGCGGCTACGTCATTAGGACGCCAGTAAGTCAGGTTACTAGATCAACGCTGTCAGATGGCCATCCGTTAGTGTGTCACTTGATTTCTGGGCCTAATAGTCACCTAGTCCTCTGATGTGCGAACATCTTGCCTAAATCAAACTGTTACAGCACCCATATAAACGGACTTTTCCGGTTAGTTGCTACTACCCGGTATTTTTACAGACCGTTGCTGTTGGTTTAATCGTTGTCTGTCAGTGAGGCTAAACTCATTTTGCACTTTTCGCGACTGCTCTTGAATGGCCACGTCTCCCGTACCTTTTTCTCATTCCGCTTTACCCATCTGCCCCGCTTACCACGCTTCACTTGAGGAACGATTGCTTATCGTCACTGATCCACCCAATCAATACAATAATCCACCACATTCTATTATCATTTATATGGGAGCACGTATGTCTATGTCACTGATTCAGTAGGATACATAAACCTTCCAGGATCCCACATTTATATTCACCTAAACGTTGTTTATCCTACAGGAAACAACGGAAGACAAAGTCTATGCCTTCTAGGTAAGTCGTGTTCGGCTTTGTATTGATTGAAACTTTGATTTCTCACAAGCACAAACCTAGAGAAAATCAAGAAAGTACGGTGCACGGGTGGAAGCTGTGACGGCTGCATACCGCCCTGTAGATTACAGATGATTTGAACGCTAAATTACCGGAGTATTCTTCCACATTCAACACACAGATCGCAATACCAGGGTCCAGAGTAGGTATAGTTTCCTAGACTTCAGGATCTTCATGGTTTGTGTACGGAGACATTAACTGAAGGGTTGTGCGATTTGTCCCCCATTCGATGCTCTGTTCTAAATGAATTCTTACCACTATTCTTTCCGGAATTCTTTGTGTGGCCCTTCTAAGGATTTCAAGGATTCTTTTTAACCGTTATTCTACCGATTGGAAAGTATCAGAGTTTGTTAGAATGGGAACACGATGGTCATATTCAAGAATGTCTTTCGAAATCACGTGGTTCCCTAAAGTTCAAGAAGTCTCACTGGGGGTGTCCTTTCGAAGTACATTTTAGCTGTCAGCCAGATTGCTGAATTTTCCCGCTTACGATAACCTGCATGCAGAGAAATTAAGCCAGGGACGACGACAGACTGGTAATTTAACGTTAAGTGAGGATAGATTCGTCAGAATAGGGAACCTAATTGTGGGCAGGTACCTGTACTCACATCATTCTCGTCCACTCAATTCTTATTATCCTGGGGTAGAAATGTGATAAAACGATATAAAAAAGGCCTGCTGATCCCGATTTTCGCTTTCGTGAATAATCCTCCCTTGTACACTTCTTTCGCCACTCTGTGTTTAGATTTCCAGACTTCTGACATGTAAGACAAGCGTGTTAGCATTACTTAATACTGCGTGGTACACGAAGCCTAAATAACTCTTCTGAAGAGATAGACGTGTTTGCACTTTGTGCGACAAAAATCGTTCATCGGATGCCTTAAGTGAGGTGGTGAACTCTAAGCCCTCATTAGCGTGGACCCACGCTCATTTATTTAAAGGACACTAATGTGTAAAAACGACAAAATATAAGTTGAAACGGTCAGAATACGAGCCCGCCACAACTACCTTATGCAAGTAGAGCTTGAACATTCAGGTGGACTTTGGATAATGACCCGTAGCACGAACTACACTGACTTCGTCCTGCCAAGGCCTCCAGCAAAGCACACAAAGAGTCACATGTATATATATATATATATATATATATCTGGAGGGCAAATGGCACATATGGTCACTAGACATTGCCTCAATGCAGTCCCAACATCAAGGATATGACTAGTAAGTGGCTACATCTAAAAATGTACTTCCCATGAACCACATTAATAGATCTTGTTAACTTAGTTTGAAAGTTGCTTCAGTTTTTCCTCAGAGTGGCTCGCTAACCAAAGGAACTGGAATAGATAAAGCAAACTGATAGTCATATGGGGGAGACGTGTCTGAAAATGTGAACGGTTTGAGGTCGGCTTTTTAAAGAGACCCTGACAATGTCCTCATTGATGATGTCCGTAAAGGTGAAGTAAACAGTTGCTAAGATCGTCGACGATGTCGGCGCCAATAAATAATCCCTTCCTCAAAACGTCGCAACTTGGCTTTTTGGCTAAATCCGGCGAAAAAACTGAGTGATTAAGATGTCTTTTTACTTTATGATTGCTAAATAAAGTAGCTGTGTTCTGTATTTGGATTTTTGCTATCTCAAGATGTAAAACCATTCTACGGAGACATCCGGTTTTCCCATGTAACCTGCACACATATAAAACTAAGAAGGCAAAAAGCAACGGTTTTTTCATTATCTGTGGGCAGCTCTTGAGTGTCAAGTTGGTTTTTTGAACGATGACTGGCTGCATAATCCTGTTTTGGACACAGACGATTGGCCTCCCTCTACAGGTCAATTATAAGTTGGAACCATAGATGATCTGAAGTGTCCGAGATTCACAGGGCCAATAATTTCCAATAATGACACCGCACTAGTCCCCATGTTTTTTGGCCTGAATTTAATTCACCCACCGGCCTAAATCCAGGATCATTACTGATAAATCTATTCGCTCTCAAGGGAACACATATTCGTTTTTCAGTTGCGTCCTATTTCCCACAGACCAGCCTAATTTGCTGACCATTAGTTTCATAGTCTCACTCAAGTGCTCTAATACACTCTCGTTACATCTGATCAACAGAAACACAACAAGCGTCAACTATTTTTCCCCGGGTCAAGAATGAAGCTGGAACTACCAATCAGTTCATCTACGTCTCAGCACCGACTGGAACTGATGAATGTCGCATAGAAATTGAGCTTTATACCAAGGATAATCAGAAGGTTGAAGAGGTGCAAGCCGGTGTTTTTAAGTACATCCAGAATCGGAGAGATCTTGAATTGGCCTACCAACTCCGAGTGAAAGTTCTCCACAATTCGAAGACGCTGTTTCAGAGGTCAGTGACGTCGAAGCCACTCGGTATCCTTCCATGTAAGTTGATTTGGTTCCATATCTCCAAAACTTTTATTTCATCGCGGCATGATACAGAACGGTAGAAATATTCAAACTATTATAAATTGTTCCTGATGAACACGTGCTATCAAGATGAATATAATATATGCCACCTAGGTAGCACGTTCATAGATTCGTGCCGCTGATGGCATTTTGGAATTAGGATTTTTCAACAGGTGCATACCCTTGAAAAAAACTCCCTAGAATCATCAACGAGGGTTACATTAGAGGGGTACATTTTATTAGGAAAGCTTCTTATCTATTCAATGAAAGGGTTGAAGGCATCAACACAAGTTGGAAATAATGTGGTGTTTCAGTGTCGGAATTTTCAAAACAGTGGAAATCGCAAGAAATCAAGACCCAAGTAATATTATAACTGAAACGTATAACTTACTGAAGCCAGCGTGGATAACTTAATTCCTAGGGCTGTTACCTTCATTGCAATGGGCGTACATGCAATGTTCAGGTGAACTCTGGATTTATCCCGTCCTAACTTTTTGTAAATAAACCAATCTATTGGGTAGGCCCAACACCTTACTTGTAACGGTACTAGAAGCATTTCGGCAGCCCGCAGTTTTTCCTGGGACTCACAAAAAAGGTGCATTTTTCAAGTTTTCGTCAAGCTTGTGTTTCACTTGAAACCAAATTACACGAAATTTGACAGATACACTCATTTGCATACCTATTTGGTTTTCACAGAAGGCTTAACCGAATCCCAGCTAAATCCGTCGTTTATGATGTTCTTATTCAAGAACATTAATTTTTGGCCATTCTTGGATAACTGCAACATAAAAGTAATTCATTGAACGTGAGTTCACCGGAGCCATACCACGTAGACAGCTTTTAAACTGATCACTGTCAAAATGAACATGATACTGAATAATCTTGGATGTGACCTGAAGCTTAGGGCACCTAGAACAGTTAGCAGTTGCTCTTGTGAATGTTTCGTTGCCGCATCGCATCGAACACTTAGTTCAATAAAAAATTACGCACATAAAGTTAGATAAATAAATTTTTCGATTTTTGTTTTTCGTGGACATTCTATGGAACTTAAAGCCAGCAGCGTTCAGGAACACCGAAACTCACGGTTGCTCGTCAAACAAGCGGCCCGGATGAGTATTGGTCTGTGTTTATGGTAACTTTGGTCAAAACAAGCTTTAAAATCTAGTGCACCGCCCGGTCGAGGGTTGATATCTTCAATTCATTAGAAGATTCAAAAGGTCATGTGGAAATGAACGTCTAATAAGTGACCTCCCCCAAAGAACATATGTTCAGAATGGACATGTTTATTATTTTCTCGTATCGGCAATCAGGAGTGCATGAGGATAAATGGTTATTCAATCATTGAAAACATTTAGAACAACAAATTTAAACGGACTTGTTAGTACCTTGTTACAATGGTCGCAAAAATACTAGTATTCTGCATAGGTCGTCATCACAATCAACTGCGCAGTCGTCCGCCTGTTGAACACAACTTTTCGACTCTTCCACCATTTATCACCAAGTTTTTGTGACAATTATCCGGTTCACTTTCACTTCACATGTTGAAGTTCGCACAAGCCGCTTTGATTTGTACACATACTCCCAGTTCTCAAGCAACAAACCGGTTTTTCATTTCAGTAGCTCGTCGAAAATCTGTAATTTAGAGCGGTTGCAGCAGGACCTTTGATTTTTGTAGTGGCAGTCAAACACCACCACAGCTTTTTTCACTTAATCGGCGATAACTGTAGAGGTACATCTGTATTTTCATACTACCAATTAATCGAACCGGTTGACTCACTTTTACTCTTCAGCAGTATCAGCTCTGTTCTGTGTGGCCCATGTTGGTGGCGTAAAGATAAACAGAAGAATAGAGGTATACAGGCTAAAGTAATCGTTACATCACTATCCTGAAGATGAGGTCGTCAGCTAGTTTGTCGGTTTCTTCGATATGTTTCCGGTTTACACTCGGTCGTTCGGACATGTTTGCTGCAGCAAGTGACTTCACCTCGGCTAATCTGATGAAATGCGGTTTTGTGTTAGGTTGGGTGGTATTCGAGAAAAAGAACTCCCAATTTTCAAACTAAACCCGATCGTCGGACAGGTCATTTCACGGAAAATCCTGGCTTAGCTCACCCGTGTAAACTCGACTAACTTCAGTCCTCACTGTTGCACAGAGTAAAAGACAATCAGAAGACTACAAGGTCAGTAAGATTGCATTTGTGATGGGGTGATTGTACTCAGTTGTAAGGAAAAAAGTTGGTGTTACTTCACTATTGCTTTCGAGGAAAGCTGAAAATGCCCAAATTTACAAAGCAACTAACCGGTTTCTTTCTTGAAAGTGTTTGGAATTTCCCCGTAACAGTTTCCCGTAACTATAATAAAAAATCCGTGAGTCTTTGTCAAAGAGGATTGGTTTATTGCACCTGCGAACTCAGTTGTATGGTCAACCCGCTCATCACTCAGTTCAGATGATTTGAAAATTCATCGAAACTAGCGTTGTTTCATTCATACAATAGGCTTACTTCAGTGTGAGAGGACGAAAAACGGGATCGATTTATCGAATCGACGGACGATCGGGTGTATGATTCAGTCCCCACCCTTATTCACCATGTAGTCTTTAGAAACACAGATCAAGCGAGACTATTAACCATTTGTATCCGGCATTCTATGCTACACTTTACGCTACGTGTTACACAGTCTAATTGCACCCATATTTCATGGATGTAGGTAGGCAGAAGCTACAGTTTAAAGCCATTCCGTAGTGGTAAAAGTGCATCAGGAACAGCATAGGGGGAGTCGAGTGCACCTGTCACATAGATAAGTGTAGATAACACTTTCCAGATTATGGTTTTGAAGGAAGCAGCTTCAAGACCAGCGTTTGCAACCTGGTTTTGCAAATATGGAACAAAGAAGACTGCCAAAGTCCATAAACTCATACATTTCTGATGAAAAAAGGACCATGGAGAGTTTATTTATACACTTCCCCAACCTTCAGTCAGAGGGTGTTGTGGATGAAAAGCATCAACCGTAATTGGCTGGCTGAGTTGTTAGCTCACTAATCTTTACGCACGAAGAATATATAATACATGAGGCTTTTAACGTACACCGCCAATTCGCTGAATAGAAAGTGTTCGGAGGAACTTATGTAAAAATGTTCATAACGGAGAAATTTTCTGTCTGAGAAATGCGTTGAAAAAATTCGGCTACCGGTGAGCTTTGATCGCGCTGTTTTTCTAAATTACATCCACATTTAAACTGTTTCTTAATTTCATTTCAGCTACTATCCCTTCGCGACCAGACTTGATGTTCTGCAGACAATGTAGGTCCATGTTCCTCAATAAATTAATCATGTTCCGAATATTGGATCGTTTCAACATTCAATCGTTCGCCAGGCTTAGACCTGGAAATCATTAAATCCTTAAAAATTGTCGTTTTTTAAACATTCACGTCCAAATTTCACTAATTAACTCAGAACAGTCTTGCTTATTTGTAGAGAATAAATCACCTAGCTCACTTTCATCTGATGGCATAACCCTAAGTTTTAGGAAATCAACGTGACAAAACAAGTTCTGTTCTATTTTTTAAAACGTCTTAGCATAAGCGCGCAGGTTATTGCTACAACAGATAGACAGACAGACAGATGGATGGATGCATGGATGGATGGATGGATGGATGGATAGATGGATGGATGGATGGATGGATGGATGGATGGATGGATGGATGGATGGATGGATGGATGGATGGATGGATGGATGGATGGATGGATGGATGGATGGATGGATGGATGGATGGATGGATGGATGGATGGATGGATGGATGGATGGATGGATGGATGGATGGATGGATGGATGGATGGATGGATGGATGGATGGATGGATGGATGGATGGATGGATGGATGGATGGATGGATGGATGGATGGATGGATGGATGGATGGATGGATGGATGGATGGATGGATGGATGGATGGATGGATGGATGGATGGATGGATGGATGGATGGATGGATGGATGGATGGATGGATGGATGGATGGATGGATGGATGGATGGATGGATGGATGGATGGATGGATGGATGGATGGATGGATGGATGGATGGATGGATGGATGGATGGATGGATGGATGGATGGATGGATGGATGGATGGATGGATGGATGGATGGATGGATGGATGGATGGATGGATGGATGGATGGATGGATGGATGGATGGATGGATGGATGGATGGATGGATGGATGGATGGATGGATGGATGGATGGATGGATGGATGGATGGATGGATGGATGGATGGATGGATGGATGGATGGATGGATGGATGGATGGATGGATGGATGGATGGATGGATGGATGGATGGATGGATGGATGGATGGATGGATGGATGGATGGATGGATGGATGGATGGATGGATGGATGGATGGATGGATGGATGGATGGATGGATGGATGGATGGATGGATGGATGGATGGATGGATGGATGGATGGATGGATGGATGGATGGATGGATGGATGGATGGATGGATGGATGGATGGATGGATGGATGGATGGATGGATGGATGGATGGATGGATGGATGGATGGATGGATGGATGGATGGATGGATGGATGGATGGATGGATGGATGGATGGATGGATGGATGGATGGATGGATGGATGGATGGATGGATGGATGGATGGATGGATGGATGGATGGATGGATGGATGGATGGATGGATGGATGTTTACTTTACCGCGGCTATGCACCGCTGATACGGAACCTTTATTTGGCTTGGTAAAAATATGATCAAAAAGCCTGTAGTCACGTGCAAAACATAATGCACTGCATAGACCTTTGCAATTAGTGACAGGACACTGCAATTTTTTCTTGCCTTACATTGGGTAGAGCTTTAAAATAGAACCTAATATCCCAAGAAACACACTTGTTAGTCCATCCACAGGGCTTTTTGGAGGTATGATACAACCTGTTCTACATTTTGGATGGAGAATATTGCTACCATTGGTTCTTCGTTATTATGAGACTGTTGATTGCCTGTTGGTCAGCGATGAAGATTTGGTTAAGTGGACAGCCACTCTGATAACCTACCAGTATGCCAGACTGCCAGTAAGCGAATAGCCTATCTCGTTGGCGCAGTGGAATCATCGAAGTAAAATGCCTAAAGAATTGCGGTGTGGAGTTTAGGGTTGCTCTCTGTATTATATTCTAACAAAGCGAATCTTTGTCAGCTGTCACAGTAACCTTGGGTGATGGACGTGTGGATGTTTCACACTTAGTGTTTCTTGAATTCAAGGGTGTGTTGGATTTTCTTAACCAGTCGGACCTTATGAACAGGAGTCTTTTGAATGTCTTGCTTCAGGTGTCTGTGCGGCTGTGACAAGTTCTTTGTATCCGTAGACTGGTTGTGTCAAAATAGTTCAAAGGAATCTTCCTAAAATTTTTTCTGCAGTAGGCGGTACCTTGCTTTGCAGCCGCAAACTGTGAATTAGTGCTGTAGGACACAGAATTTGAGCATGTCATTTTAAAGTGACGGGGAGACCGCATGTTGTTAAATTGATTCGAACATCTTACAAGTAACCGTATCTCTGATGATAGTGCACCAATATGAAATCCTTACGCGAACCCCAAAGTTTGAAATCACATGTAGTATTTTTTGCCACTCGTGAATTCTCAAACTATATGTCCAGACCACAACACGGACTGTGTTGTTTCGCTGTGTTAAAGAGGTCTTGAGAATTAAGGCCTGAATAATCTGGAATAAATGACTCGCAGTGGCGTGATCAGGAAACGAGTACAATACAGTACGAATACGAATACGAGTACGAATACAGCAGGTACTTTGGTTTTAGAGTGCAATAAGAAGCACAAACCACGGTAACTCGGTCACGTAATGTGCCAACAGACTCACTGTCCTATCCACCCATACCAGTTAATTCCAAAGTCAAATTCGTAATGGCGTTAATCAAACGTTTATCATTTACATTCTGTCAATTTGGTTCGCTTCCCGTAATACTCTCCGCGAGAGACCGGACACAGCCTATATGGCGCACTCCCCGATTACCACAAAATATCTCTGTCAATGCAGGTAGTAATTCGAGTGCTCTCACGCGCGCCCGCCTTTCATTCTATGCCTATCTGCGTGTCCATCTGCTGTGACATCCACGGTCGTATCCATTAGTTATTTACACTTTGGCCGTGTTATATTACGTTTTTAGTAAAAGCTTGCCTATCGGTCGTAATTCTATACACCAGTTCGTTGTGTTGCTTTCCACCCAACATAGTCAGACAACATAGAAGCTCACTAGCGGTTACAAATAGTTTACAGAACAGCTTTCTTGCTGGTAGACGTGCAGTGATTTTGGAATTCTAACTGCCGATTCAGGAACGGCGGAACTACACGGTACTACTCGGTTAATATTCCAATCCTTTTCCCCAATAATCTATGAAGGATTCATTCTCTGATATATCGATGGGTACGGCCCGCCTCGTGATTCCGACCACTTTCTGCTGCATACATGATCCAACTAGGGTCTCAACCAAATGTGATTGATTCAGGGGTATTTATTGCTTACCAGTCTGTAGGTATGGCCAAGGTGGACTGAAACATTGGAAACCGGCCAGGTGACTGATCGCGATGACTACGCCCATTAAATGTCCTCGTTTGTATACACAATTGCAGGCCTGTTTCCCGCACGGCAGCCAGCAGATGAGTCCGATGCTTCCATCAGCAGCTTAGGGCAGCGCTCCACGCGTGCAGCAACCTCCGTGAGTAGAGATACCGCCTCCAAGTCACTGTAAAAGCTTAGCAAAATAAAGTCCTTTGCATACCAATTTGGTTTTGACAGAAGACTCACCTGGAACGCAGCTGAATCTCTCGTTTTTTTATGATGTTTTCTAAGCAACTAAGTGTAATGCACCAGGCTGCCTCAAGTTTCGGTTGGTACGATATTAAGGATTTTGCGATATATGTATAGATGTAATACACTACTCACGAGGTTGCTGAAAACCATTTGAAAACCCACGACCGATTTTGCCCTCGTTGAGTTCCATCGGGTGGGCGCGCTCCCCAGATGTGAACTCTCTAAGTCCTCGATGACTTCGGGAGTAGTGTATTAAATCTATACTGTAAAAGCTTGTTTTACTATCGTGTTCTAATATCCTGTCATGGAGTTGACCCATGAATGTTTTTTCCACATGCCGGGTGGGCTAGAAGTTCTTCGGCCGATCAGTGATTTTGAGCTAGCAACTAAGTTAGTGCCTGGTGTGTACATATGGAAACTGGGAAACATGGGAAACCCTTGTATGTACCCCTCAAAAGTCTCCCCCAAGTTCCTACGTATTTTTAAAACGAATGGCTTCAAACAGCTCTCCAGACTCCATACGTGAAACTATAACGCATCAGTAAACGCTTTAAAATGGCGTTCATAAACGGAAAAACGGTCAGGAAAATGTCGTCCAATCCAAGCATTTCCAGATTTATTAAAAATATGGTGCCTACGGTTCACAACCCCATCAGTTAACTTCTCCACATCCACCAAGCTCGTTGGCTCCTAAGTCTTACAACACTATAGTGAACCGACGTGGCCACGAAATCCGACATCGTATAAGATTTTCTGTGGTGTTATTTAGTGCATACCCAGCGCTTGTTGGCGTACGAGATAAAATCGCTTTGAAGGCCATTGTCGTGGTTGACATCGGTGTAAAAGAAATGTTCCGGATGAATCACTATGTAACCAGAGAGTTCATTAACCGGTGTTCTTACACAGGAAATGGTTCTTGAAGATCCCGTGCGACTGTGGGACAAAACTCACCATGACTTTTATGTTTTAGATGTTGTGTTGTATTTTGGTCTACAATGTGGGTACCCCAAATGCATTCAAAACGCTTTACTCCTGGCTCGATAACTTCGTTATTCACATACTTCCTTATTATAGGGTTCTGAGAATGTTTCCTCTGTTGGTATCGGAAATAAGTACGGTCTGCCTAGTTGGAATACCGAAATGAAGGTTAAATAAGTCTGAGCGGTAATTTTGAAAATGACGGTGGTGGTTTTGCCTTTGGCGTATAAAATGCCATTATGCTTTACTGCCCTTCTTTGGGTACATGAGATAGCATTATTTGGTAGTAAAAAATAGACTGGTGAGTGACGCCAGCCTGTTACAACTTGTTCATCAAAGTCTATACATCTAATAATCGCAACTGGGAAATCTCTTTTCATTGCCTTCCAGTGAAGGAATTTGTCGCCAACATTGAGGCAACGGTGAAAATTGTGGAAGGAAATCCGGCTGTTCAAGTTCATTTCTTCAATACGGCACCAACCATTTCAGAAAGCTACTGTTCTATGGCGTTCCATGTAACTCAGTCTCTGGGCGGCTCTTCAGTACAAAAGTCAACAAATCGTCCGTGGGTGCAGTTCGACGACTTAGCACCAGCTTCTGTGTATACATATAACATTGTGGCTGTAGTAATGTACGATACGGTTCATATTTATGAAAGAATTTTGCCAGCAATGGAAGCACGAACACCAGAAAGTAAGGACTGATTGATACTTTCTACTCGAACACTCAAATAAGTTAATCCCGTAAGCCGTGCAGAGCATTTTTACTTATCGGCAGACTATCCAAATAAATATGGTATTCCTTTCTGTTCAGATCAATACGATTTTATCAAAATAGGTTTAGAAAGCATGATGCTTGTGTGCTTGATTAGACATACAGCCTGTGTTTACAGATACTAATAATGGCTTGCTGTGATGCCATGAGACTGGATACCAACGAAATGTATTCGGCCAGACTCTTGGATAAATCGAAATGTGCCCCATAACACATGGTAGCATGTCGCTTTGAATTGACCGCCCTCCTGATTGTCCCCCATTCGTATCATTACGGAGTGTTTCATAGTCAGATTCTCTTCCAATGTCGAAGCGCTGAAATCTCGAAAACTTAGACAAGATAAACTACAGTCGATATGATAAATTCCATAGAAAGAAGAAAGGAAAACCATCAATTCGGATGAATGGTTAATAGCCTTTTCCACATTAACTCATCACTGGCAGCTGCCGGATCATATATCAAGTGAATTGCCTTCACCAATAAAACATTTTTCGAGGTGCATTGAAACGAAGAGCTGAGAACTGCTACGATGCACCCGAACGACTACCATAAGTACCGTCCTCTCGTAAAGGTGCTTCACGGCATTCGGTCTACTTATGACAAAAACGTAAAAATCGAATTAACAGTTGTTTTTTTAGTTATTTTTCCGCTATCCAAAACCGAATAGTCAAATACCAGAGGTACTTCGAGATAAATTCTTCCTGGCCGAAACCGAAACGCGGCAAAACAGCTCCAGGTGTAGATTTGTTGTTCCGTGACGTTTCAAAGTTAAGTTAAGTTAAGTTCTTGTTCTCATTTGTTTTGATATGTCTGTACAATCCTAAATTCAGTCAGCCGTCTGCAAATGTTCTTTACCAGCACCAACGAAAGGGGTTGTTGTGGTGTTCGGAAAAGTCAGCAATCATGAAATCACAGAAGTAGCCACGTTAGGAACCTCCAACCATCTGTGTCTAGCAGATAAGGTGAGATTTTTTGGCGGATATATTGAATGAATCATCCGCCTGGCGGCAGGCGAAGAAAGATTTAAAATAACATTAGATATACGCTTAATATAGGGTCCAGGACACCAGTAGCAATTAGTAATTGAAGGGCTTGCTTCCTTCCAGAGGCGTCTTATCCAGAAATGAAACCCTCCTAAACATAAAAAGGATTTACCAAACCTTCAAACAACTGATGTCTGCGGAAGGCAAATTGCTTGACCCATTTCCGGTAACTTTCAATCATAAGAACCACTCATGCATTCATTGCGTCGAGTTGCCTGAACCAGCAATGACCAAACACCGGTAGTTTGAATACGTTTCTTGAATGCTGATCTGTTCTTCAAGCTGAATGCCCAGCCTGGATCCGGGCTTCCAGCTGCTCCAAAAGGTCCGTATTCATACCAGCCTTCTTGTTTTGTAATAGTTCGGGACCTAACTTTTCATTTCACTGGAATGCTCCGTTATTGTAGGAATCCAAGTCTTACTGTTCTTCAGCAGTCATCCATGTTCGCTGGCTGCTCTTCACTACTTCATAATATGGCCATCAGACTGCCGTTATATCTGGCTACTTTCCAGGTCTGCGGTCGATCTAATAGTGGTCGATAGGTCATGCTACATGGAAGAACGGACCTTAGCGGGCACTTACAGTAGAACCGGAGCTGTTGTCTTAAGAAAGCTTGTCGATAGACAAGGTCTGCAGGCAATTAACTGTTTGGCACATATCGCCTGAATTGTTGGCAGTATCAAACCATTTGCAGCTCAGTTGTTTATCTCCAAATGATCAAGTTTCTCTTGATTTATCCGTCGAGTTCGGCGAACATTCGTCTGAAGTGAGAGACGGGAAGATGTAAAGCGCTCCTGATCATTTGGTGCATCGTTTGTTCTTCCATTCAAACCTTGTGAGTCTGAGGTCCCAGTCACGTGACTTGTCTAAACATTGGTAGATGTATACAGAATGAGGCGAAAACTATTGCCCCAAACAACGTCAGGTTTAGAAACTCATTGAAGTTAGCAAAAAGCATATGCCAAACACAGAAGTTCTCTCATGGAGAAATGAAGGTTGCACCAGAATGTTCCGATAGTACGAGAATTGATTGATGGTGCTCTTTTCAAGTACATTACAAACAATTTGTGGAATGGCTTACCGCACTTGACAGGACTCGTGTGCTTGCCAGTTCGGACTACTGTTCTTCACTGACAGCTTTGGATGGATTAAATTTCCACAGCTGCCCCTATTATGAACTATTATAATATTATCCTGGTAAATTTCGGACGATATATTCATATCTACTGAGATCAGGCAAGCTCCTCAAAGAGAATCGTTCTCCGGTAGCATTGCATCTTGCCGTGCTGTAGTTGATTCACTACCTGTACCAATGTACCTGTCATCACGGTTCCCACAACAACCAACCACACAGGATCTGCTTACTGGCTGGTTCATTGTGAATTCTTGTAAAGTCTTCAACTTGATGCCTATTTAGCGTCCGGTCAGCCGGTCTTCCCATCGCGTCACAAGGGGTAGGTCATAGCAGACTTGGAAAATAAAAGCGCAATTCTTGAGCCAACTGCATAATTGCCCCAACTAATGCTTACTGAGTGGTTGATCGGTCCAGCTTTTCCAGTAGCCAACGAAAATCAACTAATTAAAGGAACGATGCCGTTCTTACCCGAATAGAGACCACGGCAGGTTGCTTATCAGAATGAACGTCAGTTAACAAGCAGTGAGAATAACTAATGAGCACGTCTCCAACTGCTGCCTGTTCACCGTGTTTTTAACTAAGGCTAGGTCCTGCAGCACCTGTTTGGCGACACATCAAATATGCCGCACCTACTGATATGTTCGATCATCACTGAACTAAAAGATAGCGTTTATTACTGTTTTATTCTGAAGACAAATGTCTTGGGTGAATTGGGCAAACTCAACACATTACTAATATAGAACTTCCAAAAGGTTGACCAACTTTTTACCGTAGCATTTCCTCTGTAAGCCTACGCCCGGTGGAAGGTGGCTCCAAGGGAATTCAGCTAATTTGCCCACCAATTTTTCCGGGATGCAGATTTGTTACCATGCTACTAAAAGGACACCAAAAAGGTCAGTACTCCACATCATGGTATGTTCTACTGTTTCTGTCCCGTGATTGGTGGCATAGCTAGGCAAAGTGACAGTTTATTGTTAAGGCCATAAAGCGCTTAAAATATGCATTTGGAGCAAGGTACAGACTATGAAGATAGACAATCAACTCCTACATCAGGGAATGCCGTCTCAGTAGCCCTAATCTTGAAGACCTCTGGGTGGTGTTCACAATAGTGGGTTTCAATTTTGGAAGCATGATACAAATTGTAAACAACTTGATAAAGATAACTAGATAGCCAGAAGAGTTAAAAAGCTTGTTCCACATAAAAGAATTCTAAGCCTTTGTTTCTTTGCTTGAAACGTTAGTAAGCGGAAAACCACATTTCATCCTGAGGTCGTAGACTTACCTCTAAGTTTAAACGGAGTTTCCACTGATGCGCATCAAATCGCAGTTTGTTAAATTCGTTTGTTATTTGTCATTCTGTACTTATCTTGTGTTTACGAGTTGTGAGTTGGAAACTAAACTCCGGTGATTAGTTCCCAGGTTCCACATGTTAACCCGCTGGCGCGCACGGCGGCCTAGTCTGACAGCTAGTTAACAATAAATGGTGAGTTCCAAGAAGAATGAAATAATTGTGCAGTACTTTTCGCATTTTAACGTCAATACATCTAATTATCAAGAGAGAGTATCCATCTCGTTTGGGCCGCGTTAGAAATGGACTTAACTGGGATTGTGGTCAATCGGTTCACTCCCTTCCTTGACTTTTCTTCAGCCTCAAAGATGATTATACCGGAATCCATGCAAGGCTTTGTGTAATAAAAGTCGTTTGACACCCGAAAGCTTTTTGGTTTTAGTTGGTGAACGCTTCCAGTTGGAAAGTGCACAAGTGGAGAATCACAATTTGGAGCTTAGATGGACAGGCACAACTGCTTGGAACAAGGTGAAAGTTTTGCTGGTCAATGGGGGACGCACAGCAAAACACGAATTTCTCGGCAATTCAGGCAGGATTGATGGGCTTCAGTCCTGCTCATCCTACGAGCTGCTATTTGAGTTGTACGCGGGTACCATCCTACTTGCCATCTCTGACAATTACATCTTATACACGGAATATCCAGGTTAGTGAAGAGTATTCCAGATGCACACAGGTCTTGGAAATAGAGAAACAGGTTTCTTATTTGCAGAAGTTATTCGGTTCTCAGTGCACGCTATCCATAATTGTGATGACATTAAGTACTGATTTCATGCATCACATGTAAAACGTCGAGTATGCATGGCCACAAGATGGATGCCTTCGACATATTCCTCAATTTCGCCTCTCACTTCACCTTTGGTTTGTTAGTGTTTGTGGGTTTGCTTGTTAGTGTTTGTTAGTGTTTGGGTACATCGAATCTCGATTTAATATTGTACATTTATGATTCACATTTCTAACACCCCTCCTGCCAAATTCCGCCATTTCTTGTATTCCTACAACATTTTAGCATAATAATACGCATAAAGAGACCTTTCACTTCAGTGACGCAGATGGATTTAGGGTCAACAACACTGCACACAACTTTGAGTTTTGCTCCCTAGCGGAAGAAATCGTCAAAAGTGTAGCACAATCCGCAGTGTTGGTTGCTCTTCGTATATGTCTGGGCTGTTGCAACAACCGGAGTGTGAATTTTATCGCCTTCGATGGAACCACTTCAATTATTTTCATTTGTGCGTCAACTATGTGCACATTCACCTAGATTAGGCCACTGGACACATTGCTGTGCGATTACTCGAACGAGACCATTTGTGCGGTCGTTCGGACTATTAAGACAGAGTTTACTCAGTACTGGTAATCAGCGCAAACTTCGTTCCAACACTCATTTCGGGCAATGAAAAGTAACATTCTACCTGACTGTTACTTTCTGGTGGGACAACACACGTAAGGAACCTTGTTTTAGGGGACCCTACTTATAGTTAATCACACCTTTTCTCGGAAGAGGCCAGTTTGTAGGAAAGACTCTTGGCAAGCGGTACTTTCAGTGTTCTGTTCAGGAGGGATGAGTTTGTTTCTTGAAGTATTTTGTGTCAAGTTGGACTCCAGAGCAACAGGTAGTTGTCGAGGACTCGTTATTACAACACAGCTTTAATTGATCGAAGAGGGAACAAACTTTTTCTCCGTTTTAGATCTTTCTAGTGTCGAAAACCTACAGGTCACGACAGATGAACTCGGTCAACGTGTATCTTGGAACCAGAAGACACATGAACAGTGTCAACTCGAATACGAAATATCGCGTTTATCTGACGAACCCGATGTGAAAACGAAGACGGTGCTTGTCAAAACAACCACACACACTTTTACAGATCTGGTTCCTGGAGTACTTTATTCTTATAAAGTGCGCCTGATGGCTAACCAGGTACCTGTCAGTGAATACTGTGAGACGGTGGTGGCAAAGCCAGTTGAATGTAAGTAAATTTTGTTTATGTATGTACGTATATGCACAAGATTACTGGTGACACATACATACATGGGGGTAGGAAGAAGCTAACCTTCCTGGAGGAATGGGCTTCATTAGTTGATTGTAATCAACCATCAGCGTTGTTGCATTTTGTCAGTCCTGAAATATAACAATGCTTTCGATTCTGGGGTATTTTTTGGGGGATGCACAGAGCTTGTGTGACTTTGTGTTAGATAAGTGATGATGACATACAAGCAAACAAATCTGAGAGAACAATTGTCCTGATGAAAAGTATAAACCAGGCTCGGAATCTTCCAAATACATAAAATAAATAATAGTTTTACTGCATGTTTGATTCACGAAATTTGTTCTCCCTGAAACAAAAAATCAGAAAACTATTCGTTATTCGAATGATTTAAAGTCTACTTATTGCGCAACAACGAGGTAAAAAAGCAATCTTGTGAGGACTGTTGGATCAGGTCGTATGAGTCAAAACGGTACTTTGGACAGCTAGTTTAAGCAGATGGATGGAAGGGTTGAAATAGATGTTACATTAAATTTACCCTTTGCTCATTTCTGGAACAAAGTTTAATGAAATGAATGCCTTAGTGATGAAAACAAACCCACCGTTTCCCGAGAATTTTTGCGCAAGGCGAAACCTGTCGCCTTTGGAACAACGGAGTGAGTACGGTTTGTTTCTTGATTATTGCCATTCATAAGAAATGTCCAATGGGGCTTATTGCCTCTTGAGAAAAGTCATCATTTCTGGGTAGCAAACTTGCGATCGATTAACTTATGTGGCAAAGCCAGTGCAACAGTTTCATTATTATAAAATCTCAAAGGAAACCCGTGACATGTTACGCCAGTGCATTAGCATCTGTAACACCCGGATACATTGAGTCAGAGTGGTTTCCCTGACTATCTTGGGTTGTGGCCTCTCGTTCACTTACTAGATTTATCTTTTAAACTGATGAGGACAGCCAATAACACGAAGAAAACCGCTCCACTTCTTCTGTACGGCACACTGGAAGAAACTTCTTTCTTATCGCCAATAGGCTTTTCAATATTCTCCACTGGTTCGTCTCGATGTCCAAATCAAACTATTGATTCTAGACCCTTAGCAAACATGCATTGTAACGCTTCTAAATTCAGATCAACTTTGCCTATATACATTGCTTTATGCTCAAAAGCAGGCGCATGAAGATAACTGACTCTCCCTTCCTTTTCTGTTCCATTCAAAAGCTGTCTGTCCATCTCGTGAGTAATAAAAATTTTAACCTTAAATTATATAAAATTATGAAATACATGGTTTTAGGTGGTTTGGGGATGCGTCAACACTCTGATCACAAACTCAGCTGATCCATCAAGATATCATACTATTTCATGTACCAAAAGCTTTAACACTTTCAAAAGAAAGCTTTCCTGATATAATATATAGTTAGCAGAAGTTATGCGATTTCGCACCATCAAAACATACCACAGAAGGTAAAAGTCGTCTGATGAGACTTCACCAACAGGAAGAACGTTACTTCATCCTTGATCGCCCAATAATTCCTCCGGGCAAGGGCTTCTCCTCACAAAACACTTTGCTGACACACGGGTCACTTGGCTTAGAACAACAACACCAAACAAAACTAGGATGAAAAAGCCATTTCTCGTGATGCAAACGTGCTGCTGAATGACGGACAATATCAAAGATCATTTTTACGAAATTCGATTACTTCAAGGCTTCCTTACAATCGGCCACCTGATTGGTGAAATCTGGGTTACAGTTAAGCGTCGTTGGTGGTCATCCAATCCGCTAAGATCGCATGGCTGATGACAGTAACGTAGAGACGGTAAGCCATCCCAATCGTAGCACCCATCGCCAATGTCACCGTCATTACTATCGTTGTTACCATAATGATCAACATCAACGTTATCGTCACGATTGCCATCATCATCTGCCGCAAAGGTAATAGATTCAAATAAACTTCGCTAAAAGTAAATAGTTGAGCAAATTATGTGGAAAGAAAGACTTGAAAATGATCTGTCGTGAGCAGTTGCTCCGCGTTTCGGTGCAAAAAACCCTGAAGAAAGATGAAATCTGAAGTTTTTTGAGGATTTCTTTGTTATTCTCAGATTGACACATTTCAGAAATCTCGGGTCATGAGGTTCTTTGGTCACAACAAAACTGAGTCCTGAAAATCTTGGCCACTAAACATTTATGCCGCGGTTTTTAAATCAAGTTCTCCAATAAAATGAATGAATAGGACATCTAAACTAAACCAGTAGTAATTAGCTGGTAATAACTAACAGTCCACGAAGTTGCTATTCGATAAAATAAGCTAATACCTTTGAGAGAAGGCCTCGAAATAATATTCAACTACAAGTAGGTGATGTAACTGCTAGTGTTGCAGTGAATTCCAGATGTGAGCTCGATGTCCTTAAATTAACGCTTTCAAATTGTTACAAAATCCTTTCTAATCTCTTGTCCTGAAAATTTTGTGAGAATATAGAACAAAAAGGCCTAGGCTAGAGAAAGCAGTCATTTGAAAAGTTGCATTTTTGTATAGCTGTAGTGCATGAACCTGCTGGGTGTGGTTGTCTGCATCCGTCCACTAGAAAACTTGAGAACGGAAGGGACGTCTTTAACAGTAGATTTACTGTGCGAAATTCACATGTTATCTTTGGACGAACTATCGCAAGAGACAGAAAGTATCATTCAGTGCATGTGGGTGAGCCAAAGGGAAGCTAGGAAAGTTATACATAAAACGTATTTAAAAAGAAGGAAACTTGTGTATTTCCACGATATCTGATTGTGAATGTAGTGGACAGACGTTCACACTTAGCTCGGTGGGAAAACTAAATCCCCTATTTGCCACGGTCATTCTTGACATTCAGACCATTAACATCATCTTCCCGATTGCTGCTACATGATTACGCCATATTTAACAAGATAAATTTTCTTTTCAAATTGTATGTGTTGCGATGAAACAGATAATTTATGGTTTGACGCACCTGTGACTAAGACAGGAAAAATTTACATTTGCATGTGAAGAAAATCTAATTTCGACACATGCATACCAGTTTGCATACCAGTTTGGTTTTGACGGGAGACTTATCTGGAATCGAGTCGAATCTCTCGCTTATGACGTTCTCAAAACATTGAAACTGAGATTGAAATAATTGTTTACGAGTTTTTTCCGGCGGTCTCTTGTTAGCCTCCGCAGCAAGGGTACTGCATTTAGTCCTTACTAAGTAACTGCTGAAATTAGGACAATCATGCACACACAACGGTTAGCCTAGTGAACAGAGATTTTTATTACCTCGTTGTAACATTACACAAAACTAACTTGAGAATGGAAGTGCATAGGTGGACATTCCATTTTTCGGGCAACGTACCAGCACATCCTACTAACAAATCCTTCCCAAACACAAAGTGTGAACTTCGCTTCCTGACGTTCACGATCTTGCAAGCAAAAGAAGATCCAGATTTATGAAACACACTTTTTTCCACTTTTACTGTTTATCTCACATTAAAAATGTACTTGTGTAAGTTAGGTAAAATTTAGTGATGCAGATATTCCGATAGGTAATTTCAAATGTATAAAATAGCTTGTTCTTTGGATCGTTCTACCTTTAGAAAAAGTCCCCTTCCCGTCGATTGTAATTGAAGTGGCAAACAACCTCAAATCTACTTCACAATCTGTAATATTCACACCTCCGAGCGGTCTGGAAACATGCCAAATAATCTACACCATTATCCGAAAAGGTTCAGATGGTACAAAAAGAATGAGTTTACCACAAACAGAACAGGAGAATCTGCGAGCAGCTAGCGAGTACACGTACCAAATCGAGGCTACCAAAACATATTCTGGAGGGAAATCATTCCGTGCTCTATCGAACCTCCTGAGGTTGCGCACAAATCCCGGTGAGTATCTCAGTTATATTGGTTGCAAAACTTTCACCGCAGGATCGCTCATGGTGCTCGCTGTTTCGGGATTATAGTGTCACAAAGCATGATTTTGTGTTCTACCAACAATTTGGCCACTCATCTTTTCTTTACTTTGCTGGATGACGTCAACTGACCATGGAGTGGCGTAATTCCAGTTTACAAACAAATGTCTAAACTGTGCGTTAGTTTTTAATTTCTCTACTTAGTCAGTAAATGTGCTCAGTCTGGCCTTAACCATGAGTGGGTATATTTGAAGATGGAGCAGAACAATTCTATACTGGACGTGCAATAGAACACTAGTATGCAGTTTGTCATTCTTTATATCAGTTTCCTTAAACTCCATACGATTCTTGTTGAATTGCTTTTCAGATTTCAACTGGAGCTGAGATAAATCAAGTCTGTCAGAGGGAACAAATCCAAATGGATAATTCCAGGAGTCGTTCCGAGTGTAGCCTAGTCCACAAATATAATGTGCAATCCCTAGTGAAAGAATGCGTAGTGAACTCTAAGATTTGGTCCCTTCAACTAAGTGACTCTGACTTGCGTGTTTCGCATAAAAGCGGTCTTCCCTGCAATGCGCATGACAGACAAACATTGTGTCTGTATTTTCCATCTTATCATGCAATCACAAAAAGACAAGCAGCAATTCAGTTCAAAACTGTTTCTATAGTCTCAGAGTGGCCGTCTACTCGTTAAAATGTTTCAGTAGCATCTACGTAATGAGTTAGACACCGATCACTTGGCAAACTTCCCAGATTGAATTCGTTCTGTAAGACATTTGAGTGTATCATTTCGAGATGCAGCATAGGGTTTGATTTTGTGTAGCGCAAGTTCCCCTACAGACCCGTTAGGGATAGAAATCTCCCTAGCAGCATCTTAACTAAGGAGTTCGGTGATCAGTTCAATTGTGAACCACTACGCAAAAACGCTGATGAAATTGTCTGTTAGTGTTCCATTAAATATGGTTTCTCATACAGCAATGGACGATCTAAAAGCTGTGCAGTGATAAGATTACATGTTGTTATCAACAATATACCATTAGTGGATACCGACACCTAATCGCTACGATCGATATTGACACGCCGTGTTATTCTCTCTGCAGGTGAATTTCTCCGAATGTATATCATAATTACCTGGTTTATACTACCCCATCCCGGGATGTGCAAATTACCATCCTGTCCCAATTTGTTCCATCAAAATTGCACGTAATCCATAAAGGGGCAATTTCTGTTCAGTCTGGTTTCGATTCATTAGTTCCAACTGCTTTCAGCGCTGGTGTCTGAAACTGTACCATACATCCCATCATCATCATACATTGTATGACGAAAAAATAAATGTAATTCGCAAAGGTTTGCGAAGTTATCAGGTCATCACATCGCCGTTTTATGTCAGATGTAAAGAACACTCTAGTCCAGCCAAATCCCGCCAGCCACCAATGAGTATTTGGACTACTGGATGAGAATTTTACGGTTTCAACCCTCAGTTAATTTTTACACTGCTCTCACCACATGATACACCATAATGTGTATTGAATGCTGTACTATTTCATGAGAAGTGTCACTTTCCCGTGAAGTCACCCATTAATCGCGGAAGAGTTTTAGTGGTGCTAGATCTGATTTGCAATTGTTCCCATTCATTTTGATTGTTCTGTACAATGCCTAACCAACTGTCCATTTTGCTTCTCGACTAAGTGGGACTTCATTGGTCAACACATTTTGATTCTGTGTATTTCCTACCTCAGATATACTTGACGGGATGAATTATAGAACAGCTTCTGACCCGATTTAAAATACAAGTTTAATCAAAATTGTGTTTCGTACCGCACCAATCCAACTAAACACAGTTCGATCTCATTTGCGGGAAACAGTGACGAGCTTCGTTAGCAACGGTCCGGTGTACTGCGGCTGTACACTGCACCCACAGATATTCCCAAAATGACTTTCCCAGATAGCTACTTTATAGACAAATCTAATGAAAGGCAAACATGTGTTCGTCGCCCACGTAGCAATGTGTTCTCATGTAATCCATTCACCGCAACTCCCCACCTGGAATGAAATTAATCCCCAGATTATGCCAACATACTTTCTAATTGGAATTTTTTTATCTCAAATTCAGTCATGGAAACTATCACGTATTCGGTTCGGAGACTCACTGATACTTCCGCCGTTATCAGCTGGAATCCGCTGCCAGCTGGAAATCAAGTGGAATTGGCCATTTTCCAGGATGATGCCACACAAGTGCACTTACTCAACGAACCTTATTTCACAGTCACGGGATTGAAAATGTGCGACTTGCTGGTGGTCAAACTAAGTCTTCTTAACGGAAATGAAATCACGTATGTCGCTCCGATGAAGAAGTATATCCACATACCAGGTAAACGGTTATCGGGCATTTAATTTCGTACAACCAGCGCGGATGCATGTTCTGATTTTAAACACAAATAATTATTCTTGTTTAACGTGGCAGCTGTGCAAGAAACCGGTGAAGGTAGGCTTGTTAGATACGCGTCAAAACCGCTCGTAAACATAGTGTTTACATGCTGCTTCTGGATCCCGAAAAACGTCGATGATAGCCGAATATGTAGTTTCTGTTTGTCGCATTCAAACCACATTTAATTAACATCTGCTCACAACTACCACTCAGTTTTCACACCCAAAAGCCAGTCATATTTAATGAGTCATAAGTAAGCTGAAAACTATCGCGCGTATTTTACGGAATTTGCCCGTTGCTGGTAAACCACTGGTGAATTCATCTAGAACTCAAGTCAGATTCACCGTTCGGTCCATTAAGGGTTCTCAGAACAGACTAGAATTCCTCCCCAGATGACCTATAGATGCGATCTACAGAAGCCGTTTAAATTGTGGTTAAAAAAGTTTGGTTATTTTTTACTTTCCAAAAAAATGAAGTTTTGATGACATGGACAATGTTGGTCAACACCAAGCTGGGTGACTTATCGCCACGAGACTGAACATTGGTAACAGTGATGCGCGCCTCCACAAATTGGTTCCGGGTTGGAAGCAACTATCACCGCAGGGTCAGCTTGACTTCAGTCGTATTGGTATCATTTGTCTTTCGACACATTAAGGTGGCGCGTGGAGAAATGACGTGAAAGCAGTAAGCGGGATTTTGCCGCGATAGACGGTGCATTGATCAAAGTTTCACACTTGTTCAGGTGTTAGAATAATGTCACATATATGAGCGACCCACAGCTTTGGTATTCCTGGATTTCCCGGGCGAATTAGATTCTGTTAACCATTCTATTCCTTTTACCACGCTTACTCACCAAGGAGCGCTTCAGATGTTTGTCACTATAGTATGTTCTTGGTACACTAAGACTTCCGAGCGTGTGGGACTATACGGATAACTCTCCAAAAATTTTCCTGCATAAATTGGTGTCCGTCAGGTCTTCCCACTCTGCTCATTCCTATTCACATTTGTGATCGACCAGAAAATGGGGTAATAGATAAAATATCTTCAAATGTCTTCAAATATCTGCTGACAAAACCTCCTGGATCTGGAATGTGCAGATGACATGGTTCTCATCTTCAAAGAGGGAAAAATGGTGCAGGTGTTTTTTGGTGAACAGAACAAAGTCACCTCATCCTTTGGGACACGCTTTGCACCCACAAAATGTAATATTATGTTTCTGGTCGTTCAACACGCAATTTACGACTCAATGAATGGCAAGAATACTTGAGGAGCGTTTCGCATATGTAGAAGGTCGTATTAGTTCCGAATTTAGGGTGACATGATTTGATTAGAGGGATATCTTGCCTCGTTTGTAAATTTGAGACACCTATGGTTGTGAAGCAGTATATTCTTGGATCAGGCTACCGGACGAACTCTTTTGTGACGTGTTTGAGACACGACCTCTCCAAGCAACCGAAATGAGGCGTCCTCAGGTTTTCAACAGCGGCTGTCTCAGAACAATAGCTCATGTAAGCTGGTGCCGACGAATTCGCAACTATACAATCAGAAAACACGTGATCGGTTCTGCAACATGGATGTCAATCGAATAACTTGTCCAAGCCAGGGACTGCGGTGATTTTGTCATGTATTGCGAGTGCTACATTATCGTTTGGCGGAGAGAATGGTGTTTTAGGTGCCGAACCTTTGACCTGAAACGGAAATGAAATCGATTACAAATGGTGTGGGTACTGCCAGGGCTACTTGCCTTCCGAGCTACGGTCCACATGATCCCCCCCCTGTACATGGTGGGGGATACAACAAGATATGACTGAGAATCGATGTCAGTGGCATTCTTGTCGTCGGTTTCTATCCTAATTGTCTGTGTCTTGAAGCTTAGGTATCTCAAATGGTTATGATAGGCTAGCATTATATCCCTTCCCCATTCAATTTTATTCTTCTCTTCACAGTACCGCCTTCAGATAAATCATGTTCGTACAGCAGAGAAGCATCGATGTGGAGCACTTGTATGCTACCAATTATCATACTTATGCAGTGTGAAATGCCTCTTTGTTAGGGGAGCCACTGAGCTTCATAGGTTCAGAATGAAAGACACATCGTCAGTACGGTGTCTCCATTACGGTGTCTTCTGATCAGTTCTGTGTGCATTCCAGTAGGTGTGGCGAAACAAGTCATTGTATGTTGTGCATTCCGTGCTGCTTGAATGGGGAAAAATTGAGGTTCATCTCGGCTGACCAAAATCGAGGTTTGCAAAACGGAAAGCGCTTATACTTCATTTGTCTTCTTCGAATTTTTAGCTGAAATTCTTCATTGTACGGTGCGATGGCAGACAATATAGTGTAAATTCCAGCCAAACACATATTTAAAAAAACCAAGGAATGGTTGCAATTTTCTGATTACGTCAGAACCGAACTGTGGACACAGAATTTTCCCCACTGCCATTTAACGTGAGCATGCCGTTTCAACATTCAAACAACAAATAACTTTCAAATCAAACCAAGTTGGAATTCTTAGGGGGAAATGTTATGTGTCACTAATTTCGACGCGAGGATGGCGTTGTCATAAAGATGTCGCTGATTGAAGACACGATGATTAACTACTTGCGAAAATCCTTGAAAAAGCTGCCCACAATGAATCCGAGAGCCGTAGTTATCAGTCCACTTCCTCATCAGTTTACGACAGAACTATTCTTAATATCATTTCAGGCCCAGTAAAACAACGCGTCGGAACATCAATGTGTCAAGAAAACACAAGGCATGATAAGAAATTCGTACTGTCGTCTGTTGACTTACAATGTCGTTTTCCATTACGTGTGACTATAGGCAGAACTTAGGTTTACCAGAAAGCTAACTCAAGGCTTATGAACGCAGGCAAATACATCGTCAGTTAATTCCTATATAGCATTGCTTAATTCTGAACGACGTATACAGAACCAGTATGCATCATCAGTCTTCAAGTTCAAAAAATGGGTATTTCAAAGGTCTTCGACTCCTCTGTATGATAAAATTTCCTAAATCCTGTGAGGGCTTTTCTACATCAAAGTTTTTGCAGTAGCCTCCTAATGAAAATGCATCATGCCTGAGGATCGGTGGAATGCTATATTTGGCCAAAAAACCGTAATCGTCTGAAGGTGGATGTCTTTCTTTGCATTCCTGCATATGCATGATCGGACAGCTTAGGTCCTCAGTCGCTGGACTAGCATCAGCGTGATCCAATTGTATGGCTTTCTTCATGTCGCTTAAAAGCTTGTCCCTCCTAACAAATGAACAATTATTCTTTGAACTGGTTCCTGCCCCCAATTGCAGTAGAAAATCTTCCCGTTGAATTATTTTTCTACATTCTCGTGTACCAATGCAACAGTCTGGTGAAGCCAGCTTGAAGTGTAACACTTTCCGTCCCATAGTTTCACTTCCATTCTCTCTACTACCCGAAAATTAAGGTTGCACAGTCTAGTTGGTATACCACTCGTTTACCCGTAATTAACGCGTCTGCATCAGCATCATTTGTTGCCGCTTCATTGCTTTATTCTAACTGAACCAAAGGTTCTGGGACCTACTTAGTCACTTGTCGCTTTAAGATGAAACAAAAAGCAAAGCATTTTAGGGGCAACCAATTTCTAAAATCCTATTAAAGAATAGAAGTTCTATTCGGACTAACAAACTAGAGACAGCATATGAAAATATTAAGGAAGTGCCTTGCCCCCGAAGCTCTTTAGCATATCCGACTGAGCATGAAAAGCATACCGTAACGACCGATACTGGGGTAGCAGCTGTCTTGTTAGTCATCCGGGTTCTTCAATTATTCCAGCAGCCTCAGGACGTAGGCAAAAAGGAACTACTTAATGACATGGAGTGATTGGCAATTATGTAGACTTCGGGTAATTGGCGAACCTATTTGTCAATGACCGAGTTCGATTTCCTCACGAACTACAAACCGTTAACCTGGATAGCGCTCACGAATAACCACCTGAACTTCACTGGGTACGCAGTTTCAGTATGAGGCAGGTTGACGGTTGAAACAGCAAAATGCCAGATGCTTTAAGCTATTCGGAGATCGGCAAGATGTCAACGGACTAATTGGTAACACCAGACAAACAATTTGACAGACAACAAAAAAAATTAATAGTTTGGAAACTCGTAGGCATTGACTTTTTAACAAAGAACTGGTTTCATCATCACTCCCACTTCATTAGTGAAGTATTCTTCACGGACCCAGGAAAATGCCCAAGGTGCTCTTCGAAAACAGGACAACGAAGGATTTCACAGCAAATTTGGATTAGTTTACGATCGGGAATGCAGAATTTTATTAGATGTTCACAACCGAACAAACATGCAAATGAGCTATCGCGTAGAGAAGGCATTCGTCGGGAATCACGTGCCATGGGCTAGACAAGAATCCTGCAACTAAAAAAGTGACCGTGTGAAATGGAACATTGTGCTCTGGAGTATAAATTGTGTTCTGTTAGGAAAATGGTCATGCCGAAGGGCTCCAAGTGTTCGGATACTTTGTTCATGGGTGAGGGAAAAACAGTAGGAGATGGAGTGGTCCGCGCAAAACAACTGGGCGCTAAATTTCAAATAGGCAAGGGGCCGTAAGGCTGCTTGATCAGCGTTACTATTTCAGACAGACGTTATGAGAGTAGCAAACAAAAAGGAAAGTAAGGGCATGTGTACGAAAGCAGTACGATGAAACCTCATAATAGTTCTGGGATCAGTGGCTTCCAAACAATTAGCCTGTGGTCACCGTAGGTACATATAAAATATTTCATCCCCCTTCCTTACCAGTGGCTTAAGGTAATTGATGAAAAGTGTGCAGCGAACGAGTGGCTGCGTCGCGGTGTGTACATGAGCTAGAATGAGTTTGCCCAAGTGTGTGGCTTTTTTAGCATAAATGACCTGTGAATGAATCTTATTACGCCCGTTGCTAACCACGCTAGCAAAGGGAAGGGAAGAAAAATACTGGCGTGCAACTGCACAACTATTACCATTAGTTATTCTCCCAGCTTATGGAGGAAGATGGGGCTACAAATCCCACCTTAGTCCGTCAGGAGCTGTATCCTGTTTCGCTGCTTGAAGATACTTGACGGGAACGCGTGGGTCATACTAACATACCGGATATACAGTTACAAAGGCGTACGAACAAATAATTGCATATGTAGCCTCAATAAAAAAGGAACCGAGATTTGTCGGTCGAAGCTTACTCATAGCATTTCAAAGCGCTTTACAATGAATTGTAGGCATGTCCGCAATATTCATCAATGAAACTCCCCAGATGGCATTATCTTATAAATGGACGACCCATTGTTATATTTTGTTTATTCCATCCCCAACTCTTGGAATAACCACCCTACAAGGTCTGAATTTTTTCAAAAACACCCATTGTGTGCTTACCAACACTCATTGCATTCCGTTTCGACGAGAAAATGTGTTGTCGATGTGCTTCGATGTTTCAAATCAAGGTAGCTATCAAGTCATTCAAAATGAGTTGAAACTTAGTCCGCAGTTCAGTATTTTGAGTTTCAGTCATTTTCTGATTGGAAAGATGTTTACTGCAAAGTTGATCGCTAAAAAGGCTTGGTGATATGCGACGGCTTGTTGCTGTGGTCCGCAACTCCAAGTTCAGATCAGTGTGGTAGACTGCTGCATCTGTGTATCGAAGAGAATAAGTTGCAAAACCCAGCACATATTCCACTTGTGTCAAGTTCCATTGGTTTAAAGTAGGCAGAAAACCTTTAGAGAGGTTGCCAGTAAAAACATCAAACGTATGGCAAGCCGTGACATTATATATGCATACATATACAAAAGTTGTATTCATCAGCATTAAAACTGTAGCAGACATTCCTGCAGAAAGTTTTCTCCCGATTTTTCAGTGGTACCTGCACCAACGGGAATTGTCGTAACTGAGTTGCAATCACCACTCCGTCATCAGATCGTTTGGGAACCAGTTGATATGGCAGCATGTAAACTAGCTTACCGAGTACAACGTTCAGTTGGTGGCAACGTTGAAGAGTTTATTCGTGAGGGAACAAAGGCAGAGTTTTACGATACAGACGAAGGGCTGTATCGTTACAGAATACAAACCGTGGTTGGTGACTATGCTGCCAG